GCTCAAAAGGAAGTTTACTAATTAAGGTTAAGGGGACAAGAGTCAGATGATACCTGAGTCTGGGTATCATCTACATATGAAATAATATTACCAACGATGCGCAGGGCAGGAGACGAAATAAATGATTCACGATATCTGCGAACCACTAAACCAAATAAGCACAGGTATGAAGTTCAATAAATAAAAGCAAAGTAAAAACTTAAAAAAAAAAGAACTATATCAAGTAGGATTTTTTCACTGACAGTAAAAGCTCAAACAAACGAGGGAAAACACCAGCATCAATCACAGCTTGTTTCATATCCATTTCCCCACAAGTTAGATTGAATAGTGCCTCGCATGCATGCATATAGAATTCTCCATCGTCTGTATAGAACAGATGAGCAAGAGGTAGGATGGCAGATTTCACCTGCTCAGTAATATCCAGAAGGAATTGGTTGAATGTATAAAGGTCCAACATTATTGATATGCATCAAAACCGAACAGAAAACCAATTAGAAGACAAACCTGCTCGAACCGAGGCTTTCTCATACAAAGCTTCGACAATGTCCGCGTTGCCTGTTCCATCATGCTTGGTTTTGTTTTATCATTAAATTCTTCCAATAAGGGCATTAACACTCCATGACGAAGGACAAGGTCACGAGATTCTGCTGAGACACTGGCAATCATTTCCAACACCTCGAGTGCCTAAATTAAAAAGTAGGATATATAGTCAAAAGCAACCACGAAATAAAATTCAAAGTTCGTATATATTAGTCTTTATCAATTTGTAAAAGTTGGACGAACATATCCCTAACATAGGGATTCAGTTAGTCTTTATCAATTTTCTAATTTTTTTCTTTTAACTTGGTCACGTACTCTATTTCTTTCTTGTAAGTCTCTTCTTCCTTGATGTTTGAATAAATTAATACTTACAATAAATGTTGTAACCTAATTTGAATCTTAATTTCAGTAATCATGTGTTGATTTTTAATTAATATTTGTGTATTGTTCTTATTTCATTTTTACGACTTTGAATTACGTTAATCACCGATTCAATGATTTGTGAAAAGCAAAGAATCGAAAGATAGGTTATTTTTTTAGATCATGTAGTAAATTAAAAATTTAGATAGGAGAGATACACTTCAACTAACTGTGTACTATTAATTAAATTTTTTGGTGATTGAATGCTTTTGATTAAAGCATATCGGGAATTGCGTTGAGACATATGAGTTTACTTAATTCAGTTAGTTAATTTGAACTCAAAAGGAGTAAATCAATTAATTTAGAAGAATTTGATCAAGTAAGCATAATTAACTATTGTCGGGATTTGGTAATTGAAATTAAAGAGATAATAATGGTGAACTCGTGAATCCTTCGCACATCAAGTATAATAGTAAATAGTCTATTTGCGACATTTTTCATTATTTAAATCAAGTAGTCCTCGTGAGAAGATTCTTAAGTTCACTGTACTACTTATTTGATTGACATCTTACACTTGAAATAAAATACAACACAACACAACACCTACCTTTTGGCGAAGTTCATCCGTGGGAGAACTAAGAAGGCTCACCATAATGGGAACTGCACCCTGTTCAATCAGGTGGATGTTTTCAGATGAACGATGTGAAATCTTTGCTATAGCCTTCGCTGCCGCAAGCTAAGAAAGTGAATAACTCAATTTATTTTAGCAGTTGAAACACATGAAATAAACAGGAGAAGCAATTGAAAGCAAAAATTTAAACCTGAATCTTCGGGTAATCATCTCTATCAAGAATCTCGAGGAGTCGAGGAACAATTCCAGATATGAATCCCTCCGATGATAGATCTATGCTTCTGAAATCTAATTAATTGAAAGCAAATGGAATCAGAGATAGAAGAGAAAATAACTTAAACAGTAATAAGATTTATATCAAATTAATTGGCTTCAAGAGAAGTAAATTAATCGATTACCATCAAGAAGCCAGCTTAGCTGAGAACAGGCACTGATTCGCAGTTCGTCGTCATTTGACTCAAGGTTAGCTATTACTTCAGCCTTTAATTCGTTGATCTGTTGCAATTGGAAGAAATTAATAATGAAGTTTCTACTCAATTAAATTTGTCCCACATAATTACTTACTTGCGAGAACTATTTCATTATGCGAGAAGACACATTTTTCTTTCAAATTTGGTTTCCAAGAGAGGATTTGTGTCTTTTTTTTATACTTTTGTAACTAATAAAATGTGGTGAATTTTTCATATATAAGCTGCAGTGCAAGTCACGCTTGCTGAAGCTAGCAGTTGCTGAGTTATGAGGTCAGAGAGAAGGCATCACCACCCTTCTGTCCAAGGGCGATAGAGCATTCTAGGGAACCTTTTGGATATATTTATGGAGAACATGAAAAAGATATGGACTTCTCGAACTTTGGTATGATAATAAATTTACAAAATCCCCTTTAAGTAGTGAGAATGAAAGTGACCATGAGCAGGAGAGACACTATTCCTGACGTAAAATGATCACAATTTTTTTTTATTTATTTATTTATTTTTTTTTTTTATGTCTGGCCAGGGGCCTTCTAAATTTTGTGTTTATTTTCTTTATTAGTAAGACAAATCTAGAGTGGTTTGAAAAAACAGAGAAGAGTGGTTTGAAAAAAAGAGAGAAAAAATGGTCATGCTTGCTAAAATCTCATTATAAAGATCTGTAGATATTCTTGAGATAGAAAAATGATCACATACCTTTGGAATCGCTTTTACCTTTGGAACTGGAATGCTTAACGCCCTCTCGACACGAACTTGAAGGCTATTGTTTCCGAAATTCTCTTGTTCTTCTTGTATTTGCCTTGCCGAAAACACAGCTGAAGGGCTAGCATCATCCAAGTCAATCATTTGAAGAGTTGGTATATCTCCTATGCTAAGAGGGATCTCCTTTAGCTTGTCACATTTCCTAAGCATTAGGCACTCGAGGCTTGTGAAGTTAGTGTTATTGGTTCTCCATTGCACTAGAAGACTAGTTCTAAGTAGCAGAAATTTTAGTTTGCAAAATTCTCCTTCGGTTGGCTCCCAATCTGGCTCCGATTCTGGCCACGAAGGGCCAGTACTAAGCAGTTTGAGCACTTCAAGGTTGGGCATGGAACCAACAATAGTCATGTGTTTCCAAGCAATTTTGCAACCCTGTAAAGTTAACTTTTTGATATTTGGTGGGAAAGTGAAATTTATCGGGACTCTAACGCGTCCAGTTAGACTTATGATTTTCAAGGTCTCAAGTTGAGGAAGATTTACCAGAGTACCTAGAGAGAACTTATGATCGCCATAGCCACTATAAATTCGTAACTTGTTTAGATTTGGAACTCTTTCAAATACCTCCTTCGTACAGCTGGAACTACACACTTTTGAAAGTGTTAAAAGGTTTCCTAGAACAAAATTCTCCCCAGCTATTGTTGATCTAGTAGGGCATGGAAAATAACACTTCCCGACCAGGAGATGCCTTAATTGTGTCATCCTCCATATTTCCTCTGGTAGATGTACATCGAGACTATTTACAATTAAGGTCTGTAGGTACCCAAGAAAATCAGGTAATGTTTTAGGCACGTAAAATTTCTCATGATAGGCGGGGAAAGCAAGGTACCTTGAGTGAACTAATTTTATTTCTCTAAATTGGAAACCACGTACAAGTTGTTCAAGATCCAACACCCTGAGCTGTGGAAAAAGTTTTCCATCAACTAATTCATTAATCAGGCTTTCGTCTTCGTCTTCAACTAATATGGGGCGGCCGCCTTCTCTGGAAATTAAAAAAGAACGGACTGGTGGCAAGGATCCCTTGGACTGGTAACAGTTGATTTCCCCGAGAAAGAGACCTGAATGAATGGCAAAAGTGTTATCTTTATCTCTGACATGAAAAAACTTCTCCTCCTCGGCTTTCTTTAAGCATAGGTCCCTTAACNCCGCCACTGCTGCCAAGGTGTTACCTCTGACTGGTTTTAGAAATCCCTCTGCAACCCATAACGTGATGAGTTTGGAGACACGGATTTCATAATCTTCTGGAAAAACTCCCATGTAGAGAAAGCATGCTTTGAGGTAATGAGGCAAGTAATCGTAACTTAGAGATAGTATTTCTGTGCAGTTTGCGTCTGTTGAATTTACAACTGACTTGACATTTTGTGCAACATACTCCCAGTGATCTTTTGTCCTGTTGACGTTGGAAAGGTGACCACCAATCAC